GCACGAACTCCTGCGAGGAGGGAGCGGAGAGGAGCAGGGTCACCGGCCACGGGGGTTGCCCGGGCGCCCCAAGCCCGGGTCTGCGTCCGCTCTCCCCGCTTTGTCCGGGAGAACGGCCTGCAGGAGGGACGGCCATTCGCACAAACACGGGAATGGATGCGAACTGGCTCCCAGTTTCCTTCACACACGTTGGCCCAGCTGAGTGGCCGTCCACCCAACACCAGGAGCCGGGTGAGCAATGGGCACCCCGAGCCTGGGGAGGAGAAGGGCTTGGCTCGGGCCAGGACCCCCAGGGGCCCTCCGTCCCCCCGTTTCCCACACGCCCCCAGGTTGTATCCAGAGGGGCGTCCAGGGGGCCCCTGTGGTCACAGCTGAGCCCGCTGTGTGTAGGGCCGCCCTGACCATGACGGGGCGCTGAGCGCTGACGAAAACGTGCAAGATGCTGAGACAAATGCACAGGCAAACCATCCCGACCCACGGACCCGGGAAGGACCCCGCTACCTGAGGGTCGGAGAACAGCAGCCCCGTGACCCCGTGCTGGACCACGGCCGCGTTGCCCGGGATGTTCCTGGCCAGCACCGGCACCTCCAGGTCCATGGCCTGCGGGCGGAAGAGGAGGCGGTGGTGGGCGTTTTAAGAGCAGCTGTGCCCAGCCCTGGCTGCTTTGCTCAGTGGTTAGAGCGATGACCCGAGGACTGAAGGGTCCCGGGTTCGATTCCCAGTCAAGGGCACAGGCCCGGGTTTCGGGCTCGATCCCCAGTAGGGGGCATGCAGGAGGCAGCTGGTCCAGGATTCTCTCTCATCATTGATCTTTCTCTCTCTCCCTCTCCCTTCCTCTCTGAAATCAATTAAAAAATATATACAGGAAAATAAAATAAATGAATGAATAAATCGGTGTTGTCTGCACTGAGCTCCTGGGGAAACGTGGCTGCATTTTTCAAGCTGGAAACATGAGGAAGATGGTGCCTGGCACGAGGAGGAAAGCGAGGGAAGGCCCAAGAGCCGTTACCTCCAGAATGGCCGCCGACATGCCCTCGGAGAGCGAGCTGTTGACCAGGGCGAGGCAGTTCTTCTCGGCCGCGTGCAGGTCGCCCTGGGGCATCTCGGGGAGCAGCCGCACCCCCGCCGACCTGCAACACACGGACTGGGAGTGGGAGGCATTTCTCGGTGGGTCCCCGGGAGGGGCTGGGCGGGGAGACACGGCCGCCAGCTCGTCGGTGGGCGTTTCGAATGCATTTAACACACGAGACACGGGCTTCCCGGACACTGCGAGTCCGAGATAAGGCTCTGCGGTTCTGCCTGAAGACTGAGAAAACGACGCTTTTCCAATATTAATGCCGCCCCCTCCCACCTCCTGATGGCGACATGACAGGTGAACAGAGAGAAACAGACACTAAAGTAGGAGAACGCAAGCCATGCCCGTGTTCCTGCCCCGGAGTTGACAGTATTTAGTCCTGGGGGTTTTACCTTTAAAAATATACATATTTACTGATGTCAGAGAGGAAGGGAGAGGGAGAGAGAGACATCAATGATGAGGGAGAATCATGGACCGGCTGCCTCCTGCACGCCCCCCACTGGGGATCGAGCCCACAACCCGGGCCTGTGCCCTTGACTGGGAATCGAACCCTGACCTCCTGGTTCCTAGGTCGACGCTCAGCCACGGAGCCACGCCGGCTGGGCAGTTTTTCTGCTTTTGTTTGTTTTCATTCAAGAACACTGACTCACGTCCATCCCCTCCGCTTCCCACCACTGCCGTGATTTGATACGTGTCCTTTCACATAATCGGTCACGCGTTTTTGTACCTGCATCTGTGTCTGTGAGCCATATAGAGGCCTGATTGTATACGGGGACACGTCAGAATTTCCCAGTCCCTGCTGCTGACCAGTAAGGGGTGGCCAGTAAGTGGGGTAGAAACCGGGGTGGGGGTCCCCGAGGAAATCACCTAACGGGGTGACCCAGAGGGGAGAGACGGTCCTCTGACCCGTGCCCTTTCCCGGGAGCGGCGGACGCTGCGGGCCCACGTTTCCGGGCTTGCACGTGGGAAGTCACAGTGTCCGGTCCCGCGGGACTGTCCGGGGGGGTTGAAGGAGGAGTCCTGTCGGGAACAGAGCCCGGGACTCGTTGCCGCGGAGACGTGCGGGCCCCTGGGGTCCCCTCCCGCTAAACCCCTGCTCCCCCCGAGGCTCACCTCTCCACCTTGGCCTTGACTTCCCTCGTGAACACCGGGTCCACCTGCAGAGACCGAGACAGACGTGAGCGAGAGCCGGAAGAGCCGGAAGAGCCTCGCGGCAACAGAGCCGCCTCGACAGCGACAGCGTGGAGAGGACAGCAGAACCGACAGAGGAGACTCCCGGTGGGCTATGCCGTGCAAA